ACGCGGATCAGTTTTCAAGCCTACGCGCCGCTGAAGGAACGCCTGCGTTAAGCTGGGAGAATATTAAGGATGACCTGACGGCGTCGTAAGCGTGAATGGTTCGATCTAATTTAAGAAAGATAGTTTCTAACCGTTGGGAAGTCGATATCCCTAACACTCCATTGATGGGCACCATTTGTAGCACCCTTCATTTCTTGAGGCTAATGACGCGGGGTTGATTCCAGATTCTAAGTAATCAGTTAGGAAAGCCTCATTTTAAAGGCATATCTACGCCTGTACAGCAAGTACAACCGGTAGCCTCTTACCTTTTTTGCCATAAACTGATACTCGCCTCTCTACCTCAGAAGGAGGAAAGTCGAATGACACAACGGCAATCTTTCCGATGTTTAGAAAGTGAATATGACGCTCTAGTGACTGAGATACCCCTGCCCTGGAAACTTGAAACCGCTCATCAGCCAACCTTCACACAACGATTATGATCAGGCGAACATGTCGTCAGGACCAAGATTAGACTCCTGGGTGTATCCGTGGCAAGCTAATGACGATATCCAGGCAAAATTCACCATTAAGCTCATTTCTGACCGTTTTGCAACACAGCAATGCAAAATGGCTGAACCACCCAAGTAATTCGCTACAGATCTTAGTATTGATTATTTCTATGCACGTTGGCAGGGTCGCACGTAGAATCTGATTCTCACTCGTTCCAATGGCAGCTGCGGTTGGCTCAGATCGACCGAAGTTCCACGCAAGCGTTTCTCGTCATTCGCTGTCGCCTTCACTCGTTTCCTCCATGTCAAGCTAGCGTTTCCAGCCAGCGAGTACAGTCAGGTATGGCTGTTATCCATCCATTCATGACCGGTCATGATCGTCGTGCTGTGCCTCTTCGAAGAGTCGTTCCCCAGTTAAGGTGACGTGGTGCCTGTACTTCAAAATTTCCCTCAAGCGTCGTGAAGTTTGAAGTTCGTGATCCGAAGCTTGTGGTCAACCCCGCTCCACTACCACCAGTCGGTTTAGCCGGCTTAAACGAAACGGTGACCCTGTTATCGTAACCCGGACGGACAATGAACAAAGGACTGTTGTACTCTAGCCTGCGGCAGTAACGGAGCTGAAAGTTTAGAACGAAAACTCAAGCACCACTGTTGCTGTATGCAAATTAGCGGAAAATACGGGAATGAGACAACTGGAAAATTCACCTCAGCGAACTGCTGCTGGTTGATGGATGGTAATTCGAGTGAGTCTTGCCTATATTGCGACCTGTGGCCGCCTCAGTTTGATCGGATTAGCCTAAATGCGACAAAAATCATTTTTTCAATATTAATTTTTCGACTTTACGTTGTCTTTCGATCAGTACGGTAAGAACTGCCTCTCCGTCGAAACTCAAAGAGATATAGGAACTCACCCAGCGAGCGCTTTCACGACGACGGGACAAATAAGCTGCCAAAATGAGGGAAGCGAACGATGAATCGGTGGCGGTCATGGAAGTAAAAATGAT